ATATATANTATNTATGGTATATATNTATATATAATGGTGTGTGTGTGTGTGTGTGTGTGTGTATATATATANATATGTATATGTATATGTATATTATATATATATTCATATAATATATATATATATATATATATATATAGTTTACACAAAGATTTTGCATTGATCACAAATCCTCACTTTTGTGCCCATTTATCGTGTGTTTGTCTGCTGACTCGCCCTGTGTGAATCTCTCTATACTGCTGAATGTCCTTTGTAGCTCGAAGTTTTCGGAGTCTACCAAGCTACTTCGTGAATCAATGGAAGCCGCTTTGGCAGGAACGCCTGAATCAGTCACGATGAGACCCGATTTGAAGCGGATCTGGGCCGATATGGGGGATCCGTAGGGCCCGTACCATAGTACTGGTGCTCGCCGAAGACCAACGTATTGTAAGTTCACATCATATTACTACATAGTACTCGCCAAAGACCAAACGACCACACCATAGCACTTGTACCGGTCAAAACACCTATACCATAGTACTAGCACTCATCAAGATCAGCCACTGTACATTCGTTCCACGACGGATGATGGTATGCATTCTTGCGGGGAGTACTCAGAACTCGAGCGTCGGTATTCAATTCCGATTTAGCTGCGATTGGCAGCGCACTGCTTCGGATGGTTGGGCCCCACTTACGTAGGCTACTGACGATTCTCCGCAGAGTTTCTGGATATATTGTAGTCCGGCTCTAATAAGAAACTGGTGATGTAGAGCGCACTATATACATTCGCACCCCCGCCGCCGAAAACCATCATTGTGATGTTGAAAGTATGTGGCACGTATCGGTCGGCAATCAGTCCTCGGCTGAACCATGCCCTTCTAGCGTGGACTACAGGGGTTAGATAACGTGGTTTTTCACGAAGTTAATTAAGGTACGCACAGTTCGGTCCAATGTATACGTTCAAGCCTAATCCTCAATCGTCTTCAGCCATCTCGGATAACGATATACAGCATGCAATGTCCCATCGTCTCAGTCGATCACAGCCTTACAGTCCAGTATCAAAGGAACCGTACAGACTGGAGCCGTTCAACAGACTTGCGGTCATGAGGAAACGGTAGCTACTGCTCACTGTCCAAATCATTGCATTGCCGTTTATAGTGGATCACAAGAGTGCGTCTGTACACCATTAAGACACGTAGAAACAGGACATATCTAAACAATTCGATGATAGAGAAGAAAGCAAGGCATTCGTATTTCGGCTGCTGGACTGCTGGAGGTGTACAAACACGTGCGGTCTGAAGTACCGCACTGTATCACGAATTGTGGTCGTAGCCTGCTGACTAATAAGTTACAACTCTTCCCACAAAAGGAGGGAAAGACATGAGTGAAGGCTCGGCATGTACGGCCAATCCAAAGGGTGGCCGTGTACAAAGTGCACGTCTGGAAAGCGGTGAGATATAGCTAAGCCAAGATATATAGTGTATCGGCAGGTATGAACGGGCGAGTGTGTAGTTTCCAGCACAGGCCATACGGTACTACGCGCATCTCACCGGGTATAGAACCGAACCGAAAAAAGACATATTAGCATTCTAGCCAGCGTACGGTGTCATGCTATTGCAGAATACAGTATGTATCCTAGGCAGGTTACCACAATGAATCTTTGCTAAGACATCACAGATCAGCTAGTACAAGATGTCCAGTGTCGGATTGTTTTGGGGATTTTTAGCAACCATGTATTTGCAAAAGTGTACGGCTGTGCTGCTCAACCCTTCCCATATCTGAGGCACAATGACATATCCGCGTGTTACGCTTACTTTTGGCGAAATTGTGCGCATCTTTGTATATATTTATGTAAAAACATATATATATATATATATATATACATATATATATATATATATATATATATATATATATATATTATATATATATATATATATATATATAGTATATGTATATGTATATGTATATGTATGTACATATATATATATGTATATATATATATATCTATCTATATATAAACATATATATATTTATATATAAATATACATATGCATGTATGTATGTATAGAACGATATATTATATATACGAACACACACATATATATATATATATATGTATATGTATATATATATATATATATATGTATATATATATATATATATATATATATATATATATATATATATATATATATATATATATATATATATAT